AAAATTCAAACACAAGATCTTTATATACTCTTATATGACAATTACTTATTTCGTCTAAAAATATAAATTAAATAATATTTAATTTGATTTTGTCTTTGAAGAAACAACGTTTAATATGACATTAGCGTTGTGAAATCATCAGAAGTGTCTTAATCCAGAGGATGGTAAGAAAGGGCCTATGCTTTTTCTTTTGAGAAAAGGATACTATGTGGTGAACGAGTATATGTTCAAGCCCATCAAACTCGAATCTTTGTCATGTGCTGGCTTTGATATGCATAGCTTACCTTTCCAATTTTTATTTGATAAACTAACCCTTAGTAATTTAAGGCCTATTAATTAGATCAGGTAACTTAAATTTTTCTTTTTCTTTTTCCTTTTTTTTTTTTGTGAAAAAAAAACCTATAGTAATTTAAGGCCTATTTACTAGGTCATGTTAATTTAAAATTGTAGATCATGCCCGCTAAAGGTACACTCAAAATGATGGTACATGAAAATTTGTCAACTCTCGGTGAATGTTTGGAGAAACTTATTGCTTTTAATTGGTAAATTATGTTTTTATCTTCATATTCTGTATCTAATCGAATGAGTTTTCATTTGCCTTGCTCTTCTTACATAGTCTGTGAAATAGACGTCAATTAGTGGTCGTGACATCGAGCAACTTAGAAAAAAAGGCCATATGTAGATAATGAATAACTATAACTAAGTGAATTGGAATTAGGTTACGAGACTATTCATGTATGCAAGTATGATTGTGTATTATTTTGGAAAGAGCACGAATTTGCCACTAGGTGCCCAGAATGCGATGAACCAGGATATAAAACTAATTTTGGCAAGGGCAAGAAGGTGCCTCAAAAAGTATTGAGATATTTCCCATTGAAAAAAATATTACAGAGATTACTCATATCTAGACATACTGCTAAAGATATGAGATGGCATGCAGAAGGCCGAGTTGAGGTAGAAGGTATTTTAACACATCCAGCTGATGGTGAGGCTTGGAAAGAATTTGACAAGTTATACCCAGAATTTATGCAAGATCGTTGCAATGTTAGGTTAGGTCTTGCAACGGATGACTTCAATCCATTTGGAAACATGCATAATTCCTATAGCATGTGGCCCGTTATTCTAGTGCAATACAATATGCCACCGTGGAAGTGCATGAAATAACCGTTTATTATGATGTCATTACTAATTCCAAGGCCACATGCACCAAGAAGAGATATTGATGTTTATTTGAGACCACTAGTAGACGAGTTGAAAGAATTATGGGAAGTCGGTGTTGACACGTTCGATGCTTATAGTGGTCAAATGTTTCCTATGCATGCAACTATAATGTGGGCCATTAATGATTTTCCTGCTTATGAAAACCTATCAGGATAGAGCACTAAGGGATATAAAGCTTGTCCAATATGTAATGAGAATACTTCTTCGCATAGGTTACGTAGTAAAATATGCTTTATGGGGCATCGACGTTATTTGCCACTTAACCTCCATGGAGAAAAAGTAAATTACATGATGGTAAATGGGAATTACGAACACCATCAAAAAAGTTATCAGGAGATGATATTTTCTTCGAGTTGGTGTATTGGTCTAAGTTGAAACTAAGACACAATTTAGATGTAATGCATATTGAGAAGAATGTATGTGATAATATTGTTGGAACATTGTTGAATTTTGAAGGGAAGACAAAAGATATGGATAAGGCTAGATTGGATTTGCAAGATATGAAGATTAGAAAAGAATTGCATTTAAAACCACATGGTAATGAGTTTTTGGAACCTCATTCTTCTTACACATTAACATTGGAGGAAAAAAAATAT